AATCTACGATTGCAAGGATAGAAGAGATCAGCGTATAGAAGGAGGTGTGTAGCCATTGTGGTTGTTGGGGAGGAGGGCGGGATTGTGTGGGGTCGGGACTCAGGTGCTGGGTGTTTTGTAACGCTGAATGAGGATCAAGTGAGCAGATAGTGTGCGGTGGTAGGCAACGCCAAGAATCGTCTTTCCATAGACGCGCAATGAACATACATGTACATAATCCAGTCATCCGCACACGGCATGCATACTTGTACGCACGTGAATGTGCCAATTCCGTATACGCATTTCCTTTTCGCACCTTTCCGTAAGGAGACCATAGGTCTGTGGGGACTGCCCTAGAGAAATATGAATAAATACTCTACTATACACACAGATAGTAGTAGACACACACTTGCCAAGACACACACACATACATGTACACGTACTTGTACTTGTAACTATATGACTGTACCTGAAGCACACACACACACACACACCTGTCCTGTCCTGTCCTGTAGAGTCACTGCCGCAAAAGGGTCACGTGATCCCATCACTGGGAAACTTGAGAAGAGAGAGAGAGAGGACACGACGCTCGATGACGCTCCAGGTGCACGGGTAGTCGCATCCGCTTGCCGCATATGCACACGTGCTGGAAGGCTGAGCGCTCCTCTGCTGTTGGTCTATGAGCCACCCTTGAACAGCGATGCCTTCCCCGTCCCCGGACACCGCGAAAGCAGCGACCACACCTGTCACAATGCGCGGCACAACATCCCTCCGCCGGTGCCGACGCTCCGGTAGTTCCAGGTGGCACTGCGGCATCCACCGTTGAGGCACACACATGCCGGACCAAGCCACCGCGGCTTCTCAGCCACCGCCCACACCGCCCGCACTGATTGGCGCCCCGCTGCTCAGACACAGGCCGCGCACGCCCCTCCAGACACTTATGCCGAGCCATGTCTCCTTTCCGTGCAAAATCCCGTCCGCATACCGTACATACCACTCGGGGCGGAGGCTCAGGCACATTGTCAGGCTCTTGGTAGGTGCTGCGCCACTCCGCGCGAGACTCACATGCAACATCATACCATGATGCCTCCACGCCACGGGCACGTAGATCTCGGACAGCACAGTCCTTCCATCTGCGGCGTGGGCCATGTGCTGGGCGACGCTGCAAGAAGGAGCCAAACAGTACCTGTTTTGGGATGCGGTTGTCCGGCATCCGCGCCACATGCCCCAACCACTCCAACCGCCGATGTGCAATTTTGTCTTTAATCGTCTCGGAGTCTCCCCAGCGCACCAGCAGCTCTTCATTGGTGATGTGTTCGTCCCACATCCGGCTTCGAGAGACCCCGAGGATGGATCGGATGCACCTCATGCTGAAGGTTGAGAGCTTCTTCAGGTCATGCTGAAGGGGCGTCCAGCACTCAGAGCCATACAACAGCAGGGACAGAACGCAAGCATTGAATACGCACCGCTTGGTGTGCATCAGCAGATGTGGATTGGAGAATACAGACCTCCGAAGAGCACCGCAGGCCCTGGAGGCTTGGGCAATCCTTGCGGCGATGTCCCGGGACGAACGGCAACCGCTGTCCACTACAGAACCGAGGTATTTGAAATGCGGTACGCATTCCACCTCCGCTTGACCAAGTTGGAGGGGAGCGCGGTCAGTAAGCGTGATGCCGGGGCCAACAACTACAAACTGAGTCTTCGTTGCACTGATGGTCAAGCCGAATCCCGACGCCACCTCGTGAAGACAGCACAATGCTGCCCCCGCTCCAGACCGAGTCGTAGCGAATAAACAAGAGTCGTCAGCAAACTGGGAATCTGTTAGGCAATGGTGTTGGTCGTCACGGCGTCACACACACACACACACACACACACACACACACACACACACACACACACACACACACACACACACACACACACACACACACATACACACACGCGCACACACACACACACACACACATACACACACACATACACACACACACACACACATACACACACACACACACATACACACACGCGCGCACACACACACACACACACACACACACACGCACACACACCATTGGACCATTGGACGCCCATCGCCGGAGGCGATGATAGCGATGCTACAGCAGAAGCCATAGCAGCTTGTGCTTGGATTGCACCATTCGACAGCTTGCAAGGCTGAAGAATTGACCGCCACTATTCAGCCTGGTCTACACCACACAGCTATGATTTGGCTTTTCCTGGCCAGTGAATCCCTACTTTTTGGTCTTTTCAATTTTTTCCACACACACACACACATCACACCACATACTTCAGCATGCACTGGCTGCTGGTAACCACCCAGTAGAATGAAAGAAAAGACACACACACACACACAAACACACACACACACACACACACACAGCAGGGGCGTACCTCGCACATCAGTGGTATGGTGACTAAATGTACCTACATGAACATGATTGTACTACTTCCAAGTACATGCATATTCCACCGGCAACCTCATACTCATAGCTGCCATTTTGCCTATTTTGACTACGTACAGTAGTGCCCATGGCGGCCATTTTTGCTGGTGTGATGTCCAGACTACACTGACTCTACACGAGCTACGCACTTCCGCGAGCACGCACAAACACACACACACACACACACACACACACACTCTTGTTGCTCACTGCCAAAGCTGGTCATGTCGGTCTCCCTGGGAGAGAAACGACTCAGCAGAATCTTGGAAAGATGACTCTATCGGCTATTGAACCGCCCAATGGCCTACACCCCAAATCCCCAAACTCTGGGTGGACTTGGAAATAAATCTTACCCATCAGTAAGTGGGTGAGGGCAAGATGCAGAAAAAGGATTTACGGCATCAGGATATCTATCCCGGGATCCAACTGCATTTACTCCTGCCCCCAGTGAAGGTAGTACTTGGTACTA